CTATTAAGCCATATTCATTGGATCAATGTACATGACATTTTAATTAATATAACATAAAAATGCAGAATTTCGTCATGTTTCGCACTTGTAAAAACTTAAAAAATAAACCGCAGGATTTCGGTATGCTTCGCAATTATAAAAAATTGATACATATTTACGATGATTTTTCGATATCTGTCCTGCATCACAGTAGAAGTCCCTTGAAGGAATTCACGGGATTAACTATGCGCTTAATAACATCTCAGATATATCATCGTTGTCCAAATTACAGTTATGTAGATGAGAGCAAGAATCTGTACTGTCATTGTGACCCGAAGGCCTCTATACGTCAATATCTGTTCGATTGGATAGTCAAAGACATAATGATCGAAATAAATTATATATATAAATATATATTACAACCGTATAAGTGTTTCACACACAATAAATAAGATAGGCCAATGCACGGTTGTATCAGGATCTTGGTGCTACAATTATTTTATTATGTAATTTTACATACATATCCTAGCTTCGACTAAACTGCGTGCCAGTACTTCCGGATTCAACGCAATCCTCTATAATTGAAACAGGACCGTATTATCACGTATTAAATTGCTAATCAATTTAATAAGAACTATAATATAAATTAAGTTTATTATAAACAAAGAAATGTTCGTTAAATGTTATTAATATTACCATCTTTTATTTTTCTTTCTTTTTGTTATTAATAATATAAAATAACTGTCGCAATAATAATTATTCTGAAACGTTAAACATTATCATGTAGTCTTTTATTTAAATAAATTTGAAACGTATTAAATTTTTTTATTTTAATTCTCTAATTATGTGCATAAATATTATTGATTGTTGCAGAAAAATTTCAAGCCTACGATTACGGATATTTTGATAATTATAAACAATATGGACAGATAACGCCTATAACATATGACCTTAAAAAAGTTACTACACCTTTGGCTTTATTTTACGGCGCTAATGATATATTAGCTGTAAAACGGGTAAAGTCACTTCTAATTTTTATATAATAACATCTCTTGATTAAAAAATATACATTAATAGGAAAACAAAGAAACCAAATATAATTTTATAAACTATATGTAAACTATATACTTATAAAATTTTTATAGTAAGAACTTTATAGTTCATAGAAACTACAATTGACTTATTGTTAGATAAAAAAATCAAAAATATATTTTACTTGTATTATACATTAACTTTGCATAACTTGTTTTATATAATTATACTAATACTTTGTAATACACTGCTCAAAAAAATTATGGCATAGAAAAATTTTGAGCAAAAATTGGTCAACTTTGGTTAACGGTAACTCCGCGAAAAATCATCGTAAAATGATGAACTTTTTTTCAAATGAAAGCTTGAGATCGGAAGAGCACACGTCTGAACTCC